TCCTCCAGTCTAGGGGTCACTGCCCCGAGTGCCCCGATGACCACGGACACCACCGATGTCTTCACTCTTCAGGCTTTCTCAGGTTCTTCTCTGAGGTCCTGGTACTTCTCTAGTGTCTCGTGTTCCTTTCTCCTGATGTTGCATCACCTGGTATCGCCACATCGACCACAACAGCTGTCCTCTGTTGTTTATCCACCACCACGATGTCCGGTTGGTTCTCCGTCACCATTTAGCCAGTCTGGATCTGGAAGTCCCACAGGAGCTTGGCTCTCTCGTTCTCTACCACCTTAGGGGTGTTACCCACTTTGATCTTGGGGCTTCCAGTCCATACTCTGCACAGATGTTCCTGTACACGATGCCAGCAGCTAGGTTGTGGCGTTCCATGGATGCTTTCCCGTCCAGCATCTTAGATCCTGCAGTTATGTTGTGGATCGTCTCAGGGGCCTCTAGCCTACACCTTGGGCCTTGTCTGGTGTGCTAGATCTTGGCTTCTGTTGCTCTGCTCCTGTGAATCCATGATGAACCTCTGTGCTTAAGACCTCTGGCATCAACAAGGCCTTTTCGCCTACAGAGCTGCCGCTCGCTGGATGCTTTCACTTTTCCGGACCATTCTCTGTCAACCCTGGAGATGGTTGTGTGTGACAATCCCAGAAGATCAGCAGTTTGTGAAATACTCAGACCAGCCGGTCCGTCACGCCACGTTCACAGTCACTTAAATCACCGTTCTTCCCTGTTCTGAAGCTCCGTTTGAACTGCAGCGGGTCGTCTTGACCATGTCAACGTGCCTACATGCATTGAGTTGCCACCATGTGATTGGCTGATTAGTGATTTGCGTTAACGAGCAGTTAGACAGGTGTATCCAATTTCTATAGTGGAGATCAACAACAACAACAACAGCTGGTGCTGCTGCTGGGTTAGGGTTTTTTGCCTAGAAGACGAATGAAATCAGACCATAAACTCTTAATTTGAAAGGTTAAACCAATCATACCTGAACTTGAAGGTTGTTGTTGTTGCCGCCGCCGCCGCCGCCACCGCCGCCACCGCCGCCGCCGACCTTCAAGTTCAGGTAAGATTTGTTTAACCTTTCACATTAAGAGTTCATGGTCTGATTTCATTCGTCTTATGAGCAAAAAAGGAATTTAATTTCAATTAATTATTTTAAGAATCAGATTTGTAGTAAAAGTTGTTTAATTAGTTTTGTGTTTCTTATTAAAGTAAAAATGTCTTCTATTTTTATTTTATGGTTTAATTATGAATCGATTATATTAAATTGATACAATGATTTTCTTTATATTTCTCTTTACATCAGAAGATTAAAACTTTATTTTATTTGTAACGTGTTTGCAAAGAAAATCTAAAACAATCTTAACCTTTAGTGAGCTGTTATAAAATGATCAGATTCAGGTCATTTCTGGCTCTGAGGAGCCTCCTCAGGGGACCGCATGTGGCCCCAGAGCCACACTGGCGCCCTCTGCAGGTGTCGGTGTCTCTAAATGTTTCAAATAAAAAGTTTATTCATTCTTTTTTTTCTGCACAAATCTGTTTTAACCTTTTAAACGTTGATTTCGTCTCCTAAAATCAGTTTAATCAGCCAACAAATGAACTCTGAGTCATAATTAATTATTTATGAAGGTTAAAAATCAACTTTATTCCACTAAACAGACGTTAGAAGGGCCAGTATTTACTTTTATTTCATATTACTGCGTGTAATTTATTTATTGTTGATGAAAACAAACGTTCCACCACAACACCATACAACAATAAAACCTCAAACACGAGTCCAGCTCCATTAAGGTGAAGTTTAAAAACCTCAAACTGTGAGACGGTTTTGTGATGAAGATCTTTTAATGACGCGTTAATCTGAACTCTGACTCCTTCCACCGACCAGACGTTCGCGCTTCACTTTAAATTTAGGACAGAAGCTTTCAGGACAGGAGGCGGAACGTCTGGATTATTTTAGGAGACCAGATCAGCGTCAGCAGGCCAAGTGGAGTCGGTCTGTTTTTAATCACTTTCCAGGTTTTATCTCTTTACTCAGAAATTATCTGCTGCTTTGACTGATTTAGGTCTTCTTTAAGAGAACAGCCAGAGCTGCTGCGGCTCGACGCTCTTCCACCAATTCCTGTGTAAAAATCACAGAAACAACAAGATCAGTTTGGTTAGGAAATCAACAAGTTTCCCAAACTTAAACAAGAGGAAAATATTAGATCTGAGGCACGGCTGATCTGCTGTGATGATCTGGTCCTTCATGTAGCCAAAGACCTGGAGTTACAGGTCCACCCGGATCTGGTTCACAAGGACCAGAAGGGAATCGGCCGAGGTGGATCAGGATGCTTCCTGGTCGCCCCCCCCCCCCCCCCCCCCCCCCCCGAGCTAAGAGGGAGGGCCACTAGGAGGAAACACCTGGCACAGACCCAGGACGTGATGGAGGGGTTTTATGTCCTTTCTGGGGTGGAAATGCTTTGGATGCTCCAGGAGGAACTGGGAAAGCGTGGAAGCTCCGAGCTTCCCTAAAGATAAAACCATGGAACATTAAAGGAACAAAGAGCTAAACCAGGAGTTAAACTCTCCTCTCAACGTTCCGTGTGCTGATGAGACCAGACTGCATGTCAGAACCCATCTCCATGGCAACCACAGATTTTCTGATTAATTGATGAAGCTATTTACTGCGTCAATGAAGACAGTTTTCAGTCAGTCCTGGACTTTCTGACCTGCAGCTAACACACACACACACACACACACACACACACACACACACACACACACAAACAGACGGGGACATGCAAACACACACACACACACATACACACACACACACACACACACACACACACAAACGGACGGGGACATGCAAACACACACACACACACACACACACACACACACACACAAACAGACGGGGACATGCAAAAACTCACACACACACATACACACACACACACACACACACACAAACGGACGGGGACATGCAAACACACACACACACACACACACACACACACACACACACACACACAAACAGACGGGGACATGCAAACACACACACACACACACACACACACACACAAAAACAGACGGGGACATGCAAAAACTCACACACACACACACACACACACACACACACACACACACACACACACACACAGGGACATGCAAACACACACACACACACACACACACACACACACACACACAAACAGACGAGGACATGCAAAAACTCACACACACACACACACACACACACACACACACACACACACACAAACAGACGAGGACATGCAAAAACTCACACACACACACACACACACACACACACACACACACACACACACAAACAGACGGGGACATGCAAAAACTCACACACACACACACACACACACACACACACACACACACACACACACACACACACACAAACAGACGAGGACATGCAAAAACTCACACACACACACACACACACACACACACACACACACACACAAACAGACGAGGACATGCAAAAACTCACACACACACACACACACACACACACACACACACACACACACACACACACACACACAGGGTTGGGACTCATGCAGGAATCGGAGACACGGAGTCGTAAAGGAACGTTAGGCTCCAGGACGCCAATCCAGAACACGAGCTGCAGCCTGAGGCTTCTTCTGAAACATCATGATTAAAACTTCCTGCCATTTCCTGATTGAGCCTGAAGCTTTTTTAGATGTTTGATTCTGGATTATAATCTGAGCAGATCTTTAATCTGACTCAAATACTTTAACAGACAGACTCCCAAACAAACACGTCCTCCTGACACACACGCGCCGCAACAGAACGTGGAACCTGTCAGCTCTTGTTCACACAGGTGTGTGAGATGAGGTCTGATGGTCGTTTTACCCCCCAGCCAGGTGGGCGGGATCAACCTCCTCCCCCTGTTTAGTTCAGATGTAAACAGGAAGTGATGAAAGGAAAAACATTTTCTCTTTGAACAGGAAAAGTCTTGTTCTGGACCATGCCTGCAGGTGACATCATTTAAAGAGGGCGGAGTCTCTAGAAACAGGAAAAGGCCCTTTATGCGATCGTGGTTAGCTAGATTGATAACTAGTATTAGTACTAGTATTTAACCAAGTCGTCCCCTAGTTAGGCGACTCGTTCATGTTATTTTGAAGCCTGGCCTGCCAGACTCTCCCTCTGTCTAATGGAGGCAGAGAGCACCATGAGGGCGGGACTAGCCAGCTCAAAAATAACCAATCAGAAAAAAGGCAAAAACTGTTTTGGTCCATATTGACATGATGGCATGACGCGTAGCTTTTTGTAGATGAAGTCAAAGATGGCGTCTGGCGACGGTGCAGACATCTTTATGAGGAAGCAGTTCAAGACTCTAAACGCACGGAAAGACCCGGCCCTGATGGTGTCCTCCACCATAGTCCTCAAGAAGTCAAAGATCACTGGACCTGTGGCTCTGACGTCTGCGGTCATGACGTCATGGAGCACCTGGTTCTGCCTCACCTCAAGACCCTCACAGCCCCCCTCCTGGACCCCAGCAGTTGACCTACAGAGCCAGCAGGTTCTCCTGTCCTCACAGCCGGGTCTATGTCCTCCAGGTGGACGTGGACTTGTCCTGTCCTGTCCCTCTTATTTCTGAGCAGCTCTGATTTATTTTCATTCTCTGCAAATAAATAAAAATACTAATAAAGCAAATTTTTGACTAGAAAATGTTAGAACACACACACACACACACACAGACACACACACACACACACACACACACACACACACACACACACACACACACACACACACACACACACACACACGTGTCAGGTTCCTGTAAAGGCCTGGGTCCGGCTGGGGCGCATGCGCAGCGGATGCCTCCAGTAGCGTGTGCACAGACGAGCGTGTGTTGGTTGTAATGGGGGGGGGGCACAGACAGTCACAAGAGCGACTCGGCGGAGCCAGGAAGAAGACTGTTGACGCCTTCTGAAGAGTCGGATTCCGGGTTC